CTCTAGCTTTTAGATAGGCTGTGGCAACGCTACATCTTTTTCCCTTCCCAATTTTGACCAAAAAAAGCACCTCAGACCTGTAAAACCTTCCTCATTAAATTTTAATCAAAGCCAAAACCGGTGAAATGTTTTCGTTTCACTGAAAAGTTCCCAACCATCACAGCGATGCCTTGCTGTAAAGGCTCTGGACAGCAAATACAGCAACCATCTGCTTGCTCCTAGTTGAAAGTTATTCCTTTAGCCTGACTTGGACAGGCCTAAGTCTTTATTGCAGAAACTTTTAAACCCCATGCCTGCTAAGATCTCTATGCCTTTGTGCCTGTGACCCTGATGAGACAAGTAAGGACTACAGGGATTTCTCCACTGCTATGCAATGCCTGAAGAGGGCTTGAGGATTTAGCTCTACAAGAACGAGAACCAAAGGTAATGCTGGGAAAGGGGCAACCACCGCATCCCCGTTACGACTCATTCTCCTGGAACAACTCACTCAACATACTGGAACAAACAATTAAACGTCCCATTTATAAGCACCTAGAGGATAATAATACAGTAAAGGAAAAAATAAGCAATGTACTTTTGGCAAGCACACATCAAGTCATGCCAGCCTCATTCCCTTTTTTTGTAAGATATCGAGCATCACAGATAATGCAGGAGCAGTATGAGTGATGATGTGATATATCTTGACTTCAGAAGGCCCGACGGTCTCTTGAACAAGCTAAGAGAATATGGCGGATGTTAAATCACCATCAGGATGCTTCGAAGAGCGGCAATCAACAGATCGCTATCCACCAGGGATGGAGGTTTTAGTGGGTTGCTGCCACAGTCGGCTTTTGTGCCCTGATCTCTTCAACACTTTAATTAACACCTTCATGATGGAACAGAAAAAAGGCACCTGACTTTTGTCGATGACACCAAGTTGGGGGCAGTTGCAAGCGCTTTGGAGACCAGGATCGTAAGTAAACTGAAGAAGCGATCTCCGTGGAGAAACCAACCAGATGGCATCCAACAACAGCGAGCACAAAGCGCTACGCTCAGGAAGGGGGGAAAAACAATTAAAGCTCAAATACAGGTAGGGGATGAGCTGCAGACTGTGCTGCAGCCCAGTAACAGAGGGTTAGAAAGCAGCGGAGAGACTGAATAAGCGAAAGCAATGAGGCGCTCTTATTAAAAAAAAGGTAAATCTCATCTCATTCTGGGGTTAGGTAAGTGAAGCGTGATATGCAAAACACGGCTGGTACTTTTATCTGCACGACTGAATCCTGAACTGGAACTCTTGCTTTGGTTTTGGACAGTACACTTAAGGAAACACGTAGACAAATCAGACGGCAGTGAAATACGTATGACATAAGAGTTGGAAAACATGACCTGCGAGAAGCAGTGAGCCTGTTAAGCTGGGCTAGAGACGTCTGAGACACAGGCATTAATGGGCTTCTAGCAGATAAAAGGTAGTTTTGAGGAAGAGGAGGAGAAATTACCACCATGTGTCTTGGAAGGACCAGAAATAATTGGCAGCAAAATCAATTTGGATCATATATTCATAAAAGCTTTCTGAGTGCAAGGAGAGTGAAATAATGGCCACGCACTGGCTACGCGGGCACAGGGTGTCTTCAAAAAACACGTGTTAAGGGCAGCCGCCGTATAGCTGATCTTGTCTCACTGCAGGCGGAAGGACCAGACCACCTCTTGTGGGTCCTGCCAGCTCTTTGCTCCTCTGATCAGATACCAACAGAAATATCTGGGGTAGTAAACAGAAAGATGCGCTAGCAGGCATGACACCCCAGCTGAAGCAGCACAAAATGCTTTGAGTGTGGTGGCGGTTCAGAGCGGTCTCTTCGTGGGGTCACCCCAGTGCAGAGAGCGCAGTACCAGCATCTGGGAACAGCTGAGCTGGGCAGAGACAGCTGCCCCCGCTCCAACCCACCCTGCAAGCAGCGCTGCCCACCCGGGGCAGAAAGACAGAAGAGATGCCCAGGGTTATACGAATGAATCTTTTGACAGTGAATGCCTACTTCTACCTACCAGCAGAGTTGGCTTTAAGTTTGAAAAGGAGGAAAGACTTAGGAAGAGGGCTTTTTCTACTTGTAGCTGTCTATCAAGTTGTGATTTTTTTTCTTAAGTGTCGTTTCATTACCCCCTTTTTAGACCTGAGAGCAATCCCATCAGCGCACGTACAAACTTAAGAGAAGAAAAGGAGCAGACCGAGCAGGCTGTCTATGCAGAGACTGGTGCTGGCTGACAAGGCAGAATTGGCTCTTCCCTTGGAAATACTAAAGGACATGGGCACACACATCGGAGAGGGGATGTCCCTCTTTCTGCGATACGCTCCTGCAGCTCTGGCCAGCAGAGCTCACCCCAGGGAAAGGTGATTTTCTCAAGGGAGGAAAGGACCTGCTCCTAGAATGCAACTCCATTAGCCTGCAGTGATCGAAACACAGTGAATCCTTCGGATACACCAAAGCCCATCTATTTCAGGCGGCACTGTGGACACAGAAGCGGTCTTCTCTAGTTATTAGGGCTCCAGCACCACTCCAGTATCTGCCTACCTGTCTGTTAGCCTCTGATATAGCTATCCCATTTGTTTCTGGGGGTAAGAGGGGCTGGGTTTTCACAGTGGCTATACAGGATGAGGGAGTTGAACCAAGCTAGCAGGAGTCTCCGACCCTGGCTTGTTTCGGTTTCCCTGGGCTCGTGCGAAGGGAATCACTGACCGTCAGTCCAGAAATCTTCCTGCCAGATTACCGTGCAGATCAGTTGACCGCCCTGTTACTTAATTTTTCAGGAGCTGTATTTTTCTTTTCTTTATTTATTTTTACATTTGGGACGCCCGGAGCTTTGCATAGCCGCTATTTTTAAGCTTATGAACACAAAAGCAAGAGAAGTAAATAAACTACATTAAATAAATAAAACCAAAAAATCTTAGCATGACTCGCTATGCAAACTCCTTTCATTTGTACTAGCGGCAGACTATTTTTCAGGCAGACAACCTGCAAATCTGAGAATAATAATAATCAATATGAGAAAATGATACTCGGAGAGGAAAGGGATTATTTTCTAACGTGTACTATCTTCTAATAAATTAGTTTTATTAGTTAAGAGTATTTCAAATTAATTATTTATTAGTTTTAAACTAATAAAAATATGATTTAAAATGATGAATGAGTCAAACTATTCTAAACTGTAAAGGATTTTTCATTTATATTTTGCTTGGGTTTTTTTTACCAGATGAAATTTAATTTTAGAAAAATCAAAGCTATGAGTTTCACCTAATTACAGGACTACAGGACCCGGGGCTTTAAAAGTAAGCACGATATCACAATGGGTCTTTTCCCAAATCTGTGGCAGGCATTTAGAACAAGGATTATCCACAGATACGTTGTTTACAAGCATGCAGAGTTTAGGTGTGCCAAAACCTGAATTTTCTCATCCTCAGAAAGGTGGCAGTAGTTCAGATCTGGACACCCGCACATTTAGGTGAAAGCTAAGCTAGAGAACTCAATTTCGCTGCTTAGGCCCGTATCTAATAGGCACAAATAAAATTAATAATACATGTGCGTGGCTCTAAAATTCATTCGTACCTATATTTTTCTTGACAGGTAAATGGAAATTGTATGCTGTGAGATTTTACCAGCAATAAACCACCTACAGCCGGTTAGCTATGCGCCGCTATAGCGAGCGACGAGGCAGGGGACATCTCCAGGGCTGGCGAGTGCATTTCACGCCGGGCGCGCTCCAGCGAAGACTCAGACAAGCCGGGAGAGCTGCTGTGCGGGTTGGCGTGTGCTGCTCGGGGAGGATTTTGCACGAGAAGACAAACCAGGAGCCTTCTGTCTCACTGCTCTCACCTATAAACCATCACCTCTGACCGTAGGTCTGGACTTCACCTCGCAAATAAACACGCGGTGCGTTCGTTAGCCCCCAGTTTGCCAAGTAATACCAGCAAGAGGAAGAGTCCCTTCAGGCATGCATTTATATCCAGAACGATTCAAACACTTGCTGGGGGAAATAAAATCCGCAGCCTTTTGGGTTACTAGACAAACCAGGAGAAATAACAAACTCCTGCCTGAATGATAATGTAGAAGCTGAACATATCTGTAATATGTATCGAACACATTCATACGTACCTATCTATCTAAGCTGCTCTATAAATATTTTAGATAAATAGGCAGATAGACAGAATGGCATGAAGATTAAAAGCAAAACAAAACAAAACTGAGTACACTTGCTCATTTGGTATTCTGGTCTGGACAGGATGGAACAAGTAAATTCCATAATGCCCTTACCAGTAATTGGTGAACTCCTTAATGTGTTTACTCTCTGTTATACCACAAATGCGGGCAGACAGATAGGATGACGCCGGTTCAGATCGCCAAGTTTCCAGTTCCCTATAACGCACACAGGAGGAGGGTAGCTAAAAAAGGAGAGGGCAACATAAGGTACGCGGCAGCTATCTCAGGTACCAGGTTTCACACATGCCTAGTGACAGCACACCCTGCAAACCGATGACCCAGCACAGAAAAACACCCAGGAAAATTAATTCCCCAGCCTTGCAAAGAGTTGACAATGGAAGGCCAAAAACCACAGCACAGTAGCTTGTTGACACAAGAAAAAAGAAAGGAAATCTGAGGAAGGAGGAGGCGAAGAAACCAAAGGACTGTCTGGGAAGAGATGAGGCAAGCACGATGTTCTGACAAGTGTCATTATAAACAAATGCTTTCCCCTCAGCGCCAGAACAACTAGAGCCAGGAGCCAGGTCTGCATTATACTAGAATATGTCTTGGCATCATTGGTGTCCCCTGCTCTGTCACCGCTTTTGAAAGGACAGACTGACGGCAGAGTAAAGCCACGCTGCGCTGCAGCGGAAGGGGACGATCCTGCTGGCTGCTTTTGTAAATGTAAGCGATACACAGGCTACGGACACCGGGGTTTCTCTAAGAAAGATACAGATCCCTCCACCCACTGTGTCTTTTGCTCTTTACTCTCTTCTCAGGCATGTTGCTTACCTTGCACAATCAAGTAAACCTGGGAAGTCTTGGGGTGATGCTGTGTCTGCACTGAACACGTATAGGACCCCTCATCGTAGACATCCACTTTCTGGATCCGCAGGCTGTACTCCAGGGGGTTTCTCTTCTCCAGCTCTACTCGAGGGTCCAGGGACCACTTGTCTTCTCCAGCAAAAATGATGCCGGAACGGTTTAACCAGGCCACCTTGGAGCTTCTGTCTTCTACATAACACCTGCAGAGGATGAGAAAGGTGAGGGGAAGATTAACAAGCCTCTCCATCATCTCCATTTTGTCCCTTCCCTTTACTACTTTGCTCAGAAACTCCGTAGCACGCTCCCACCTTGCCAGTGAACCGCAGCATCTCCTCACCATTGCTGCCCCATGGCCATGTATTTCACAATGATTTTTTTGAAGGGTTTCAGGAACCTTTGGTTCATGAAACCATAGGATTTGGGGCGGCCGTGCATCCTGTTCTCTATTCCTTTTGTCTGTGGCCTACACCTGCACCAAAAATGACTTTGGAAGGCCACAAGAGATCCTGGTCACCAAATCCCTTCTAACCCTGCCAATGGGAAAGGTCTGAAGGAGTTCTTCCCGTGCTTCTCCCTCACCTTCAAAAGTTCAGTATACAAAAGATTTACATTCCCAGCCCCCTGCCAGCCTGGAGGGCAAAGGCTCAGGGTTCCAGCTTTGTCAGCTCAGGGTACAGCTGCTGCATCCCTCAGCTTCAGCAGCACAAGGGGAGGGAGCCATAGTGTATCTTCCCTCTCCGTCCCTCTGACAAAAAATGGCTTTGTGGGAAGAGGGGTTCACTCCTCAACCACCACCTTCCTAACACCCCCCCCCCCCCCCCCCCGCCCGGCTGATGCACATCTGCCCGCAGGGAGGTGCAGGTTTCAGGCTGGGAAGGAGAGGGTGTCACCACCATCCCAGTGACACACGCAGCACGTCCTGTGAACATCCCAGGTGACACGGGAGAGGAGGAATGATGGCTAAAGCTGGGAAGCAGAGGAGCATCAGCAGGACCAGCAAGTCCCATAGCCCTGACTGCCAACCGTTGCAAGGCAGAGGACGGACTAACCCTGTTGCAACTGCAGGACAAGCATTTTTGCTCCTTGACAGAGAGCACAGAAGATGCTGCGAAGACAAACACGTTTTTGGCCAAGGCACCTGCTCTGTACCACTTCCCATCTCCAGAAGGTGGCTTGCACAGGTGAGATGAGGAGATGCCAACGAGGAGGCACATCCTGCTCGCTCTCAGCTGTGTCTCATTCGAGAGGTCCAGGGCTGAAGAAGACAGGGGGACAGAACTCCTCTTTCACGCTGGCAGCCGTACCCACCAGGGCCCGGCTCAGACAGGCTGCGAGGCTTTGCCCTGCAGCAGCTCACACTGTGTTTGCTCTGCGGATAAATAGGGAAGCTCAGTCTCCAGAGCTGTTGCTCCTTCACCTCTCAGAGCTCCGCACGCAGCCTCCTGACATCCAAATAACCCAGCACCTCTCCCCACCACTATTCATGCATATGTTGTATTTGAAAGAGAAAAGAGAGAGGATAAAGAGTATTGCTTCAAGATAAGACAAATATTTGATGGTAGGCTTTCATACAGCCTCTTAGCACGGGTCAGACGTTTTCCAAGTCCCTCTATTTGAATACATTTCATTCATGCTGCGCTGCAGCTGCGGTCCCTTGCGACGTGACCCTACCCTTATGGCCGGCACCTCTCACCTCCTCCCTTTTGCACGCCCATGGATGCTCTCCGGCTTGTTCTGGGGTTACTGGTGGGCAGGAGGAAAGCCAGGCTGCGTGGGCATGGATGGGAGGCACGCCACGCTGCTGGCCAAGCTGGAAGCAGCTCTGTCTGATCCGAGAAACATTTATTTTAGAGAGCAACCCAACAGACCCCGGCCAGCACTGCCACCGTCCAGCCAAGGGAGGAGAGCGAGGGTTTGCTCCTCAGGCCAGAGCCCACCCTCCCGGCCAGGCAGACACTTCCCTGAGGTGAGCTGAGCTGTGACCTGCGTTGTTTTTAAAAAGCTGCTCTTTGTAAAAAAAAGAAAGGTGCAGGGGAATCCACGAGCAGCCACTTACACGTAGAAACCAGCACCACCGCGACGTGGCGGTGCCCCAGTTCAGTTGCCCACCCCGGGCCACCACCAGCAATGGGAGCTGGAAGCAAGGACCTGGAGAGGGCTCTGTGCCCCAGGGCTGGGAGCAATGGCCCTGCAGGGACACCCAGACTGTCTCCAGAGCCGGCTGCCTTCGGGTCACCGGGCTTCTTGCAGACATATTTCTGCGTAGAGTCGTAACGGCACCGAGAATCAGGGGTTAGGTCTTTTCCAAAGCCCCTCTCTGCACATTTTGGATTTGCAAAAATCCCGAGGGGGACGGCGGAGAGAAGCTAAGCAGATTAACAGCAGAAGCTGAAGTCAGTGGGAGCTGAAGTTTCTCGGTCACTTCTGGAAAATCCCTCGGCACACCTATCAGTGCTGCTGGGCACCAGCAGATCCAGCGCGCCGCACCAGCCCCGCTGGGCTGCTTTCCGGACCTACGCTGCAGTGCTACGTGATACAGCGTGGCACCCCGTGGCTCTGCCCTGCACCCAGTCATTATGGAGGTAGCAAAGACGCCCCTGAGATGTCCCTCGGGTCAGTAACAGCTCAGCGGCGCGGTCGGAGCAAAGCCTCGTCCTCAGAGGACACTCACCCGGGGATCCTCCCTCCTCTCTGCTGAAAGGAAAATCTCTGCTGAAGGGAAAATGTGTGTCATAACCTGTCCTACACCCCCCGAGGTCAGCCCTAGGACGGTGGTCAATAGCTACGGTCAGACAACCTTGCAAGTCCCCCTGAAATAAGTTGGCGGGTACTACGAAAATAAAGCGAGGAGGAGAGAGAAGGAGAGGGAAAGGAGGAAAATAGGAAGAGTAAATGAAATGGCGTTGAGCTGCTCCGTTCAGCATACCTATTCCTCTCCAACTGTCAGGGAAAATCAATGTACAAATGTGGAATTTCCAAGTCCTGGCGCGCTCTGAACATGCATCCATGTGGATGATGCATCTCAGTATGTCCGTCTGCACACACGCACCCTCTTAGTCTGCCAGAGACGCCACCCAGCTGTATGGATCATGCTTTAATAAGGATTTATGGTGATGATTTTCACAGTGTAATAAGTGCTAATTCAATACTAATAGAATATTAAATGGCACGTTAACTGACACTTTAACTGCAATGCAATAGGAGCATGGCATCAGCAAGATATCAAATGACTCTTATCGTTCACTAATAATCAATAATCAAGTTCACAGAGACAGTCAAACGCTTTTCATTAGGCTTATTGAAAGCATTACCATCAGCATCAGCGAACGCTAATAAATGATCTGCGATCCATCCATTTTGCTTTTCCTTACGGTTTCAGGTGTCATTTCTTGACATCTCTGATGCTGCTAATGAGAGGACCAGCTAGCAGTGGTGGTCATGTCCTGCACGATCACTGCAGGGACCCAGGAACAGGATTTCAGCACCAATTCGAACCACAGACACAGAAGGACAAAAAAAATCTTACTGCTGTGCCCCTTTAGCCCTTCTTGCCCTTGCGTAAACAAACATAGCAAAGTTTGGCACCTGAGTTTTTTTTTAGTGACGGCACCATTTTTAGCTGCTACGGATGCGTTTCCAGTTCTCACACAGTGACTAACAACCACGTAACAACCAGCCAGGAGAGGATGGTTGGAAACTGGACGTGGAGAAAGGAACCTGGGCTATCCTCGCGTGTCTCCCTCAGCCTCAGTTTCCCCACGTGCAAATGCGGACGACGGGGCTCAGCCGTGCCGCAGGAGAGAGGGGGGGTGACGCTTTCGCCATAGGAGAACACTTTGGGACCTCCAGTAGGAGCCATCGCCTCGAATGGGAGGGAGGGCTGCCCACCACCGTTCCTGGTCCCTGGATTTCAGACCGGGGGGGCACATGTGGTTGGAAAACCCTAGCACAGGCTCCAACAGCCAGGGTGGGGCCTGCAAGGGGTGAGGAGGAGGAGGAGGATGCACGAGAGCTGGGGGCTCACCAGAGCGCTTCTTGTTCTGCCTCGGGGAAGGCAGCACAGCAGCTACGGCCCTGGGCTACAGAGATGGAGTGGGGGTATTTTATTGCCTTCCTTGGGGGGGGGGTCTTTTAGGGGTAAGTTTGGTGTTTAGAAGGGGTGGCTGATATTTAGAGCCTACAGTGATGAAGGGGCAGGAAGGAAACCCTGTAGGACCTGGTGAAGCTGCAGTTTAAATGATTACTTTAACATGGTGGGGATTTTACAGCATTATCCATGATGTATTGGGTCGCCTTGAACTCGCGATAATTGTTGGGGGGGCGGGGTTACTGTTGTTGAAATTCCAAATAAATAATTTTTTTTACAGCAGACCCAATCCCACAGTTCTCTGCCAGAGCCCTGCTAGTGAGAAGAGGCGAGCTGCTAGGATTAATGCAACGCCGCGTGCTGTTTTACCAGCAAGCCACAGCTTTTACCTCATTTGGGGGAAAAATAAATAAATAGCGTGGTTTCGGACTGCATTTTCTGCCCTCCTTCTCCAAAGCACGTCGTGGCGACAGCTCTGTGTCATAATTCCCATGCTGCTCTTTAATCATCTTGTCTCTGTTAACCCTTTGATCATCTCTTCTGTAGGACAATCTCTGTGCAGCAGGCCACAGCTCGGCGGCCTGCTGCACACGCAATTAAGCACCTGAAACCCACCCCATCGCACTCGCCGAGGGACACGGCCCCCTTTCGCCAGAGGATGCCACAACCCACCCCGGATCAGATCTCCTGCCTCCCCCTTGGGTCTGTGATGAGCCTGCTCTAATCTTCTCACTTCACACACGCTCGCAGGATCCAGCTAACAACTTCCCCTGCTGTCCTCTACCCCCGGCAGCAAAATAGCAAGAGGGAAAAAGAGAGAGGGATCAAACACGGCTTGTTCGGCACAAAGCAACGTCAGCTCCCGGCTGTCAGCTCTGAACGTGCAAGACAAATTCTCCGTTGTGTTGCGAAGTATGATCCCGGAAAGCTAATGCGGTGGTTAAACACAATACCGCTCGCAGCCTTGTGAGGAAAGCTCAAGAGCAAATCACGCTCGCGCTGATTCGTCTCGTCTTCTTGTGCTCTTCAGTCCTTCCCCGAGCGGCGAGCAAGGACCCGAACACAGCCATGGTCAACCCGGGGAGGGGGCAAAAAGAGCCCAGCCCCTCCGCT